TTTTACTTAAAAATTATAAAATAAATATATCTTCCAAAATATATATGTTTTTAAATAAAAAAAATTTCACGAAAGCTTTCTCATTACAGATATTTAAGCTTCAAAAGAAGAATTTTACAATTCCAAAAATTTTCCCTTACAATTACTTAGTAATATTCCTCTTTTTCATTGCTCATTCTGATCAGTTTTGTCTAATCTACAACACTACGCCGCCGTGACTCCGGCGGAGAACAGCGGCCGTCGCCGTTGCCGGAGAAGGAAGTGCTTGAGAAAAAAACCCTCCTCAAAACTTCAAACTCCCTTTTTTGTTTAGAAACTCATCGGTTACTATTTGTTCATATCTGCACTCCTTGCTGCAAAATGCCTTCTCCCCCCTGCATCCAACAGATACCAAATTCAAGCTTATAAGATTATAGTTTATGTTTTTTAAAAATTTTATCCCTGTACTTTTCAAATTAAAGAACACAGAGAAGATCCGATTATATGTTAATTTCGAACTCATACTGAAACGGTGATGAATCATCCAAATATGTTAAAAAAATCAGATTTTTATCTGATTAATTACCTATACATGTAGATATCTTTCCCGTGCAAACTTTTCCTGCACAGATAGCAGCAGCTAAGTAAATCAGCCACCGGAAATTCTCCGGCTGCGGCCAGCGACCGCTTTCCACCGCAGCTCGCCTCCGAGCCGACATGGGGCATCCGTCGCCGATCTCCGGCGAAAGTTTCGAGCTTGGACACTATGCTAAGCCCCACACCGTCGGAATCTCTCTTCTTCCATCCTTTAGGGGACAGAGGATTTCGTTCCAGTGGGCTTGCTGTGCCTGGTGAAGCGGTGTGTTGGCCGGCGGAGATCGGGCTGGGGAGTTTGTGGGCGGGCCGCTGGGTCAACATAGCTGGATTCAGGTTTTAGGTGCCGGAGAAAGAGAAGACGGCGATGGTGGTGGTTGTAGTGGTGGTGGAAAGAGAAGGTTGGAGTAACAATGGGCTCTCTGATATGCTTATAAAGGCTAATTTCCTTTGAATCATAATCTCTTTTTTTTTTTTTGCAAAATTCTGCTAATTGTATTTTTTATTATTAAATTGCTGAAATTAACGGACTCATATAGGTGTAAGGGAAAAATAAAGGATTTGCTGATTTAGATAAATTATCATCACTGTATATCAAAAAATATTGATTAAAATAATATTAAGAAAAATTTTTATAGTAAAAAATAAGATTAATCAT